TGTTGTAAGGTTTTAAATTGTGAAATGCGTTTTGTTCTATTAGACATTTGACACTTTGTAAATCTATCATGATGACAGAAGATAATAAATCAATCTCTTCCTCTTTGCATTATGACCGTCACACAACACAGACGTGTTTGCATATAAATCGCGTTTGTTTTATTTAACACTCCTTCACACTCTACGGCAATTGCTTGTCCATCGCGTTTCACTTGCGCTTCAAATAATTCGTGGAGACATCGATCACGTGGAAAATCAACTGTCGTTTGGTTCCAGCTATCTAACAACATCTCCCGTTCCTCCTGTGGCATGATAGTTAATTTTCGTATATGTTGTTGTGGTGTGTGCGTTAATGCATCGGCAAGTGAGACAAGAGCCTGTTGCATATAAGCACAGATACGTGCCGCTGACATTGAAGATACCACTTTGGCAGTTAGACTCAGTGAATTGTCATCGTCGTCCACTGATAAGCTTAATGGGTAATTTGTTCGCCCCTCACTACCGAGAATACTCATCCCAGGAATCGATATAGTAATCTGTCCTGTCTGCGATTTATGGCGGCAGTTTAGTAATGCACTGAAAAGTGGCAGGGCAGCTGGTATTCCACTGCAGCGTTGAGCCAATGCTAACGTTGCATGTTCGTGTGCCAACAAAGCACTCAATCGTGCATGAGTTTCTCGTACAGCATCCTCAACGGTTGTCTCATCGATATCCACCTTCAATGGTAGCGTGTTAACCAATAAACCCATAGCACTGCCGTTTCCCTCTCCAGATTGTAAACGACCTAGTAGCACAGTACCGAAAACGACTTTCTCGCTTCCACTGGCACGGGCAACCACTTGTGCCCAAGCCAAATGGCATAAACTGGCTAAAGTAACTCGCAAATGTCGCGCATGCACCCGTAACTGATTATTAAGTTCCTGTGGTAGATCCAAATGCGCTGCATCTAACTCCATTTCATGGCCATGAACATCATTCAGACCAAAAGGTAAGGTGGGTGCTTCTACGTCAGCTAGCATTTTTTTGAAGAACTGAATGTTTTCGCTCTGACTAACACCAAGACGAGTTTGAGCTATTAGATGACGGAATGGTGTAGGCGTGATCAACAGATCATTTTGTCCATCAATTATTGTCTTCACTTCTGAAAACATTTTTATTAATGACACATGGTCTCCAATCAAATGATGCTTCACTTGCAATGCTACCCAGCCACCTTCAGACGTTGGTGCTGCTATCAGACGCAATAGGGGCGTTTGTTTTAAGTCCAGTTTGTAATGACGCGGATTGTAGTAGCTGTTCAATTGTTCTAGTACTGGCTCATTGGTATCATCCAAGGTGACTTCGGTAAGTAACGTTGGAACTCGACGTAAGACAACTTGTGCCGGTTCACTCAGCCCTTCCCATATGAAAACGGTGCGTAGAATATCATGTCGTTCAACCACTTGTTGCAGGGCAGTTGCGTAACGTTCAAGTGCCCTTCTATCAACAAATTGCAGTAGATTAATTAACAGATACGGATCACCATGTTCAGCCATAATATGATGGAACAAGATGCCTTGCTGTAA